AAGTTTATAACTGCAGTTGAAGGTTCAAAAGGATCACAAAATTTTCTAAAAAAACATTAACTCTGTTGTACAAAAAGTAATCGCAGAATTAAATGTTCGACGAATGGCCAGGAAACGAATTTAATTAGTAATTAAATTTTGGTACGCATTTTATTATTTAAGTACTGAGTACTTATATGTAGTTTATTTTTATACAATACAATCTCTTCAGTCTTACTGTGGTCACTTATGCACGAAGAAAATAGTATCTGAAAACTAACGCTTTCCATCCATCATGAGCGCACCCTTACGCGTTCCAAATTTGAATTTGAAAAGTCCCTTTCTAGAGTGCTTTTTTTTTGTAAAGCACTAATGAGAGTGTGGCTTCTTAGGGAGCCAGTGTTATGGACAGCCGTATTCGAGCGTTTATGTTCAGTTGATTTTAAAGGTTTATTATTGCACACCTGCACCTCATGAGCGTACTTTATGGTAACTTCAGAAAAACTCGCTGCATACATACATAAAACTTCTCAGGAAGAAATTAGACTATTTTGATGATCTTTTATAATATCAAATGAGTCAGTTTCCTTATCTTTTTGGACGACTTATCGCGAGTGAACTGTACGCGAATACTACATTGATGGGGTAGTGGTTATAGGGTCACCTCGCCGCTTTCTAGTGCTCTGAGTGTTATGGGTACGACCTCCACATGGGACAACACTTTATTTTATCCACAAATTGTTGTTCTAAGTCTAGGTATTTTCTGCGTCCATTTCAAGAATGTCTGTAAAATCTCCCGCGACATGGTATATATTCCTAGTGCGGGAGCTGTCTTTTAAAAAAAGAGACGTCTAATAAGTCAGTGAGTATAATAGAGCCTTTAAGATTTTTATTCTTGGCATAGTACGCTAGGTACAGGGGAAACAAATAGTCCTACCTTTTTCGTCGGATGTTGTTTTATGTTTTTATAAGAACACTATGATCATGTGTTACTAAATATGTAAAATATGTGTCTAGGATTTTTAAGGACTTCTTGGTAAGAGAGACGACTATACTACTACGGACATGGTGACATCACTAGGCGACAAAGCGCAATTCACTTTTACTTGCGTTAGTTTCAATAAGCATCTTGCAAGTCTGGTCTCTCGTCTCTCTGTATTTGTTATTTCGTGTTTCTAACTTTGAAAACTATGAACTTCCATACAACCGTTCATCCCCTGTTTTACCCTCTTAAGGGGTGAAATTTCCAAAAACCTTTTCTTAGTAGGTGCTTATAATAGAAAAAGCAACAGTTGCCAAAATTTTGAGTTTGTAGCCCGAGGGGTTTAGGCTCTGCGTTGATGAATCAGTCAGTCAGTCTGAGCATAATTAATTTGTATAAAACAGATTAACCGTTTTTGCGTGTTTATTCTCAATCGTAGGTATCTTTACAAGACCCAAAAAAAATCTTAAGTAATGATTTCAAGATCTATTATAGAACACGCATTATTTAAGCGTAAGCAATTCAGATGCCAAATCAAAAGGTCTCCTAAGATATTAGTTAAACACGCGAGAATCAGCCCCAAGGCCAACATTCAAACTATGGAATCAGATAGTATGAATTTAAAAAATGGAAGCATAGCCCGAGGCGCCATCTTGGGCATAGTGCACGCAACATAGCTACAGAGTCGAGTTGGGCTGTTATTATGTTATTTTTAATATATATTATCATAGGTATATCTTTATTTATTTTAAAAACAGGAATATAGACTATTAATAATAAATGTTGAGCAAATCGTATTCCTTCTAATTCAGTCTTAATTACGTGATTTAAAGAGTAATCTCAAATATTATTTTTGCCAAAATAAGCTCAATACTATAAATGCTCAAAAGTATATCCTACCTGCATTTAATGGCAACTAGTGTCCTTGGACCTTTCTGATACATAGCGTATGTTCAGTAGTAGGCTATTAGATAAAGGCTGTTGCTCATGATGATGATGATACATAGTACGACTAGAACATTTTTGACTAAGCACCCATAAATCCGTTTTTCTTCTTTCATTTATAACTTTGTATCTACTAGCAAAGTATTGGAAACTAGCATTTCATAGAGTAGGTAAATGATATGTATTTTCAGCATAAGAGCCTACCAAATTTGTTGCATTTAATAAAGAACTCTGGTTACTTTGTTATTGTATGATAAATTATGTATATGAATCGAAAACTAACGACGGCGGTAATCCTATGTGGTTGTATCATGTACTATATGTACCGTGTACTAGAACCATCTGTTTGTTAACTCCCTATATAATAACAAACTTGTTGCCTGGTAGAGAATGTCTTAGTCATTAAGTCCGACAATGCAACAAATGTGTAGTTGTAATTTATTTCGTGCAAAAATTCAGAAAGTGAATTATTTATGAAAATTAAATATTTAAAATAGGTTAGTCATGTCGCCGCAGGGATAGACAGACTGTGTGAATATTGGCGCGTGCTTCCAAATTCAAATTTTGTTATGCGTGATCTACCATTGTGTTAAGAATTTACTGAATTTTTATTTTACTAAGTAATTCACATTGCTATTTTAATATTCCAAAATTACTAAAATTGCAGTGCACCTGCAAAAATTCAAATAATTCAATGAATTTGAAATTCAAATGTTTAAAATTCGATCACTGTGTCGCCTGGGGACTTTGACAGACTGTGTGAACTTTGTCTCGTGCTTCTAAATTCAAATATGAATGTTGATGATGATTAACGTTCAAATGCTTAAAGAGATTCGCATTCCTTATTTAAAATGTAGAAAAAAGGGAAAGTGGCTTCTGAGCGTTTTTAAGTTTTAAATAAAGAGTATCTGAATGCTAAGGAACTCACTGGTTTCAATGTGTATCATCAATTCATAGCCTTATTTTTTTATTTCTTAGACCCGTTTTACAGTTTTCTCCTGTTAAGAATGAAATTTGTAATAAGTCAGGACTAAGGACAGTTTTTAGTGGTATCTACCTATCAGAAAAAAACCGAACTACTTTCTAACTATATCGCCGAGTCGCTAGTCATGATAACCATAGGTTCCCAGACCAGATACTTAACTAATATTTATCTCTGATGCTGCCACTTCTCTGGCTTTGCTGCCACTTCTAAACGCCTGGGCAAAAAAATAAAACAATTCCACAAAAAGACAGGCTTGTATACTTTAAACATAAGCAGGAATTCAAGTTTGTCTGTCCTTCAGAACATGTCGTTGGTGCCTGGAGCGTCAATTTCAAAATTCTAAGATTAGCTACCTGCACATGACTATGCTTAGCTTCAGATTCCCGCACGGAAGCTACCAGAAAGAAAAACGATTGGGTTATTCGTTCAGAAGCTCGTGCCAAGATATCGAAATTATTCTAAATTCGATTATTATAGGCACGCTTCTACATGGACACGCGATTTTATTTAAAACGTAAAATAATTTGCATACCTACCTTTTCTTGCATTCCAATCACAATGAAGTTCATCCAAATCCAATGAAGTGAGTTATGCTTCGAAGAACAAATTGATCTAATTAGTTGATTGTACAGATGAATCGATTTAAATTTAATTTTGTTTCTTTAATCATTACTACGTCTATAACCATCGACTTCAAAACTAATATCTTCATTTATTGGTTAAATTATTATTGATCAACAGCCTTTAGTAGTCCACTGCTGGACCGTATAGCGTTTTTAAGCAAACGCGCAAATCCTGCGTAGTTAGCTCCCCTAGTGGGCTCTTACGACACCCACGGGCCACGGGATGAATAGGGGTGGTGATATCCATACTAAAGCTTTGAATATAAAAATTTATAATATATTATATCAATATATTTATACCATACTAAATTAAATAAATATGATTTATGAAATTTTAAAAAAGTTTTCGTAATTTTTGTTAAATTTATAGTGAGTAGGTCCAGGGCAACCGAATAAAATGTTAACACTGCCAACAAATAAAGTACCTATATACATTTTTTTTTCATCATCATCAACAGCTTTTAGTAGTCTAGTCTAGTAGTAGGATATATGTATATATTTTATGTACTTATCATAAAAGATTGTGTGACTATACTGTCACATCATGGAAAAATGAAGTAGTAATTTATGTTTTAAAATATACCTAATGAAGGTAAGACTTCCTTTCTCTTGGTTGCTACCAGTATTCTAAATTTGCAAGTATTTTTTCAAGGATTTATTTTTCAGTAGGAAGATATAAAACACATATACTTTTAATACACAAAAATATATTTAAAAATAAAACTATACAATAAGACATATAATTAAGAACATGTTTTTAATTTCACTGCATTTTCTTCGGCTAGCATGATACAAAGCAATATTAGTGGTAACAAATCAGTTATTATGAAAGTGTTCAAAGATTAGACCGTGGATATCTTCTGCATTGTAATCGAATCTAAATATAGAGGAAGATGGAGATCTATCAGAATAGTCAATAGAATCGTTAAATCGAATGGGGCTAAATATTGGCCATCGTTTTTTTTAGGTGTACTTGGAAAATCACCATTTGACTATTTAATTTCTTCGGAGCATTTTCTGACGAACATTTTTCTTCAGTGAATTATATTAAAAGATTTATATACGTCTACTTTTTGAAATATAATTGTTTGGTAAACATAAGTTTACTTTTCATTATTTCGAAACTAACAAGTTCATCTTTTCTGTTATCACTAACACTTCTTTGTCCGTTTTCCATTTCTGAATCGTCTACATATCCAATAGATTTATTTAGATTTGAATAGAAATCACTTGTATAAATATTTCCTGCTAATACGACTATTCCATCATCGTCATCGAAGTCTCCTTGTCTATCATGATCTTTGCTTTCTAAAGAGCCAGTTTCAAGATGCATCGAATGTAAGTGGTCAAAGGATGGTGAAAAATTTATATTAGCATAACTTTTGTGATCTAAAGGTAAACTTGGTGGTCACTGGGACGTATTTTGTGGAGGATTCAAAGTGGATGAGAACCAAATTGATGATAGGATTGATAACCGGCGGTATACTTAGACTAGAGCGGTGTGATTAAAATAATACTGGTTGAAGCTTGGGAAACTACCATGGTGAGGAAGGATTTTTCTCTTTAAATGTGTTGAATGTAGCTTGGGGTTAGGATTTGCACTGTGTCTATTCCTTGATCTCTTCGAACTGAACGTCATACTGCATCCTTCAACTGTGCATTTGTGCATCACCCGCAAATGAACAGCGGAGATATGTATCTTTAAGGCACCTTTGTCACAAAATGTTTTAAGACATATGTTACACAGTACTCTCTTTGAGGCGCGTCCATTCCAACTTCCTGTGCTGCTGGTTTGTGCTTCCTGTAACAAGGAAAATATAAGTTTCAATGAATGTGAATTGAAATAAAAGGGCAAGAAGGTACGGCAATAAAAAAGGGTGTTTATACGAATGGATTGTGAAGGTCAGATTCGAATACCTTAGACTCTAACTGGTCTGAGCCCTCAAACAAATATCAAATAATAGGGTAGTGTAGTAATAACTCTGATAATAATCTTAAATACATCTCGTGCAATAGTGTACTGTGTGCTCATGGAGTGTGGGTGGTCGATTTGAGTATGCTTATCGATTATGTTTACTATATAATTGCATTATCGTTCAATTCAATGAATACAAATTGAAGATATATATTATTTTTATATATAGCAGTTACGTATGAAATCATTCATCTACATTTTGAATATGAAACTCTTTTAAAATGCAAATGGCTTAACAGATTTGCATGTACTTTTACTTCTTAAATTCACAATCGTCACAATTAAGTTTAAGTTATTAGGTTTAGGTATTAGTCAATCACAATTAAGCTATTGAATAAACTAGACTTGCATCAAATATTACTTAATTTTCTCTTAAAATAATGAATTATTTCAATTTAATTAATTATAATTTTTATTAACTCAATATGGCAACATGACTCATAATACGGAGACACTATTATTATGACGTTGATCACTTTTAAAACGATTCATAATACAATTTAGATTTCGTATGAAATTACCTGTGAGTATCGCTTAAACTTAATAAAGGTAGGTACGTAATGATACACCGAGGAAAAGTACCTATACGCTTACCTTAATCTCGACTTATTACGCCTTAAATTTAAAAAATATTTTTTATCTTATTAATAGATAAATAGATCTTATTCCACAGAAGTAGAGAAGTCTTGTGTGAAGCCCTTACCTTATGCAGATTGACCATTTGTCGGAAGGCCATATTGTGCTCTAAATCTAGTCCACTCCATCTTCCTGTACTGATAGATTGTGTATGCTGTAACAAGGAAGATAACAGTTTCATTGGAAGTGAACTAAAGGGGATAGGTAGGCAAGAATAGACGGCAATATACGTGCAAGGAATAGCTCGAGAAGGTGAGACTTGGATAACTTAGACTCTAACTGGCAATTGTTATGAAGTCGGAGCCCTCAAACTGAACGTACCTAATATTAGTTTTGTATAATTATGTTTTTTAACCCTCGGGGTTTTTTATTTGACTACCCAACACCTATTTTAAATACTACAAAAATCACTTTGTCAACCTTATCAAAATAGGGTAGTAGTACTCCGATAACCATCTCTATCAAAGTTTAATAACTAGTACCTACGCGAATATAAGACCTGAAACACAGCGATTTTATATCAATATTTGTCGAGCAATAGTGTATCATGTCATGCACATCTAATTACCTCTATACGCTACGAAAAAGTTTTACTGTTGTAAAAAGGAAGAGTGCTATAAAAACGTGTGCCTTTCACAGTCTTTAAAGCCGCGTATTTAACCGCTTTACAGATCTTCGTAGGCCAAAACCTCCTTTCTAAGGAGAGGCTTATGTCCAGCAGTGGACTATTAAAGGCTGTTGATGATGATGATGATGATGACAGATCTTCGTACACTTTGCTCTAAAGGGGTATTTGAGTGGTCAATATCTTAATTTTTTAATTTACAATTGTGTTAGAGCATTATATACAGTACTATTTATATACCTATATCATAAATTAAACTTTAGGAACATCAGGTCAGTGTTACCATACCATATCATAATATACCGCAAAAGTAACAGTACATCAAACTTTAAATCAATAGAGGTTGTGTAAGTTAAGTAAAGTAAAGTAGCAATAGTTCCTATGTCTTATTAGAAGACATCTTTAACAAAATGCCGTTCATTTTACATGCGCATGAAAGAGACAACGTCATGTCGGCGTCGCGGCGGGGCCGTCGGTGTCAACGAGAGTGTGAGTTTGGTTTTAAACCGAATCAAACGGATTATTTATATCGTTTGAAATCAATGAACACCGAGACACCCACACAGAGTTTTTAACTTATCAATAGAGTTTTTATAACTTAGGTAGGTAATACCTACGCTTGGTCGGACGAACCAACTAGAACTAAACCCGCTAAGTATGTCAATATCAGTACATCATACATTAAATATACATATTTAAATATCTAACATCCGTATTAAGGTTGTCTGTAAGAAATCGCGTGATCGTTTTAAACGGATTGGTTTAATTGCTTTTAAAGTAATAGTTTTATATTAAGTAATATTAAGTTTAGTATTAAGTAATTTTATATTACTAAGTTATATTCATATAAGATTTTAAAAGGATATTTGAAGTAGAGAAGTTTTGTGTGAAGCCCTTACCTCTTGAAGGTTTAATATTTGCCGGAGGGCCAAGTTTTGCTCTGAATCTCGATCACTCGATGTTGCTGCACTACTGGATTGTGATTTCTGTAACAAGGAAAATGAAAGTTTTATTGAGTGTAATTCATCAATTATTTTTTTACTTTCTTACCATATTTTTATAGGTTGGATACCTCTGTAGGTCATCACCTCACCCTGTCCAAGGGCAAGGTATGTCGTTCTTAACCTGGCTAAAACTACTCCATGTTCCTTCACGGAGTCCTAATGCCGATGGCTTTCTGATCAACAGAAACTTAGTCGAATTTTGTTATATCCTTTAAGTGTTTAAAAAACAAACCTTTAAATAATCATCTTCCCACCACCGCTTTACTTCCTGGGTCAGTTTACCCAAACCTTTCTCATTGCTGTCACTCGTGGCAGACGAATTTTGATCACTGTCATCATTCTTAGACATTACGGAGTCCTAACAGCAACACTAGGTTTCACTCCTTAGACCTCGTATGGTCTCCGAACACTTATACTTAAATCACCGGCTGTTATTTGAAACAACAGACGGTCACAGAAAAGGACACTATTAGTGTAACATGTGGACACCTACATTGATGTCCACGAGAAGACTAAATTAACCCTGCGAAAACAACACTTCAAAGACGCCGCCAGTAAGGGGTGGGGATTATTAGCGCTATGTTTATTGCTGTGCAAAAATAAACAATAGCCGACGTTTACCTGAAAGTACCTGAGTTTTTTAAGGTCAGTTTCGCGTGATCGGGTGGTATTTTAACTGTTAACTGGATTAGGTACACATGTACCCTGCTCGTAGACATTACAAGTAGGGTTAAGTGCTCGTCGGTACATGCTTATAGGTCGTACTGCAGGACTTAAAGTATGTCAAGTTAGTGATAGTCTTTACTCGGATATAAGCAAGCATAAGAGGCGACTTAGGGAGCCAACTATGCAGGACAACAGCACTGCAAAGATAAGAAAAACTTGACACAAACCCTATACAAACCCGTCTGGCCAGCGAGTTAAGTTGGCCAAAACCTGCTTTCTAAAGAGAGGCCCATGTCCAGCAGTGGACTATTTAAGGATGTTGATGGTGATGTGAATTAACAATAATTTAATTTAATAATTATTACTTTCTGTGGTTGGGACAAGCAAATAAATTTAATAAACTGTAAGTTTGTTTTCATTAAAACAAATTCGTCATATGGTAGCAAAAAACTTAATATGTTTACGTGAAGTAGCAATTTTAAAGACAACTCCCGCACTAGGCATGTATCCTGTGTCGCAAGGGTACTTTACAAACATACATGTAACGAACAGAAAAAACCTCAGATTAACAATTTATGGATTACTCATAGTTTTAAACTATGTAGGGATCGAACCCACAACATTCAGCGCAGTAGGAAGCAGCGAGGTGACGCTTAAACCAAGTCCGCAATTACTAAAAATTTAATTTTAAACCAAATTAAATTAAAATAACTGTTCAGTGTTATTTTTGTTAGTAGTCACTTCATTACTAAAATTATAACATATTAGATATTTAGGTAAGTACATACTATTGTATGTATATTTCTAACATCTAACACACAAATAACAAAAAAAGACGTGTGGCACTCGGGGACTGCCGCGGTAAACCTATTGCATAGCATTTTGTATCAACTTATGCAATTATAATTATTTATTTATTTTATTTTTGCCGTATTTCTTTTTCTTTAATATTAATTCAAGTTACACTTTTTGAGCGTGGTGACTGATAAGAAAACATTTTTTTTTCTTTTATTAAATAAAAATATTGAAGCATATATTACAATTTGTTTTTAAATAAATAAATAAAAAATATTATTATTAAATCAAATTACATATCCATGTAAGATTTTTCTGCATTATGTTGACGAAATTTCCTTTGACGTTCAGTATTTGATTTTGGTACTGTTTTTTGTTTTGTTTTTAGCGTGAGGTTTTTTTTCGTTACGGAATTTCTGGATTCGGTCCCCGCGCTCAAGGCCCTAGATAGAAGCTATGCAATAGCTTAAAAACAATGCCATGAATTAAAAAAAAAATTGAAAAGCATGGCATAATACCTAGGCTCCTTACAGCAAAAAATAAATACAAGTCATGTTCGGAGAAAAAGAAAAGAAACAGTAATAATTTAAACGTATGAGGTAGACTTTTCGAATACTAAACCACAAATTCACAGGTTACAGTGTATTTGTATATACATATGTACATTATAATAGAACAGGATGGGTGGAAGAGCCATACTTCGATACATTTAGGCCAGGCTCGACCGGATAGATATCAAAACCGACGTTAAGAAGTTCTTTTGTTGATTTTCACTAAGGGACTGAGGTTACCGGAGCCCAAACCCTCTCCCTCCCCCTTACCTATTGTGGGGGGATAGAGTTGCAAAGTGACCATGGGCGGCGGGAGTTACTTATCATAAGGTAAACCGTTTGCTCGTTTGCTCGCCTATACCATAAAAAAACCTACAGGGACCTACTAAGAAAATATTTTGCAACTAAAAACCAACAAAAAGTAAAATCACTAAATCACTTTCTCTTCGTAAAAGTCAGTGAAAAAAGTGCACCTTCCTGTGCGTATGTAAAGAAGCTAGAACAAAACGTTCCTTATCAGCGAGGTGAACATCCCCATTGTCAGTCGACGACGCACATTATTTTTTATTGTTTGTTTCACATACGGTCGACTTCAAAGGCGCCGACTTTATTCAAAACCCGGGACGTATTGTTTTCAATTTTTCTATAAGTAAAATTTATGTGGATTTGCAGCGTAATACTCACTGCAACCCATTTTATGAATTATTAGCGTAGGTTATAGACCAATTGTCTTGTGAGAGCCCTTCCTAGAAATTGCTATCTATGAAATGAAATAATATTCAAATATTTGCTACATGCTTGTTAGTTATGAAAAAGTTATTTGTTTGACAGAATTAGGTATAACATATTGAACAGAAGTTGGCTAAAGAAATTCAACACGTGCATATCCTAATCGACTGCATGGATTGCGTAGTGGTTTAAGCGGTCCTTTCGCCGCTTTCTACTGCGGTGAGTGTTGTGGGTTCGATCCCCAGATTGGATTGAACAGTTGTTCTGAGTCTGGGTGTTCTTTGTGTCCGTTTCATGTATGTTTGTAAAGTCCCCGCGTCACATTATTTATTCCTAGTGCGGGTGTTGTCGTTTTCAAATAATTAAAGATCAACAAAAAAAAATTTTTTTAACTTGTTCTAGTAGGTATAGTCCTAATCTCAAGGTAGAGTTGTAATAACTGAAACATATCCTTAGGCTATAACGAATCGTTTTGGTTATTTTATGTTAGTTTGTGTACCTGCAACGCTTTATTGCTGATAAAATAAATAATCACTAATAAATGTGTAAACCTAAGCCATAATAGCAATTATAAGTTTCCAAAGCAACAATAGAAATTGAAAGAAGGTAAGAAGTACCTACTGTTACATTTCTGGTGTTATCAGACAAAAAAATGGTTGGTTATAAAAGACAGACGTGTTTTATTTTTATACCTGATCGTTTTTTCTAATTCTGTTGTTTTGCATTTTTGTATATTACACTATACCTATCTCTGACATTAATAAACCAATTACAATATACACACACACACACACGCACACACACACACACACACACACAAACGATGTGTCTCGTTAATAATAATTCTAGGGATATATCCTGTGTTGCGAGGGACTTTACAAATATACAATAACAATTTTTGGATCGCACAAAGTGTTGTCTCATGTGGGGATCGAATCCACAACACTCGATGCGGAAGGAAGCGGCGAGGTGACCGCTCAAACTACTACGCTATCCGTGCAGTCAAAATTATTATTTTATATTACCTATTTATTTTATTTATAAGTACATCTTTATTATACACAGCTACAGTACCTATATAAGTATTTTTTACAGGCATTGGTTGAGATCTACATTATGTAGGTAAGTATTACAATAGGCGGTCTAATCGCTCCCTGACATGTTCGAGCTTACACACCCAATCCTTCCTTATAAACAAAATTCCTCGTTTTATTTCCTTCCCTTCTTACCAATCTTGGCTTTTCATCATACCCACTCCAAATTTTCCACTTTTTTATTCCTAAAGTGCTTGGTTGACGATAATACGCTTGCCCCTATTAGTAGAGCCCCTTGAGTAGGACCAAGTTTAAATTGGCAAAATGGTGGTGATCAATACGCCTCCACCTATAACTTAAGGAACACAGTCAATGTGTGTTATGAGAATCGTAGAGATGCTTATACAAAACAGTACCAATAGTACATGGATTCATTACTACACTGACCGTGAGCGATATGGAAGTACCGATAGTAACAAAACTATATTGAACCATGTTCAAAGTTTAAATCAAGTGTTTGTCAAAACGTTTGATCCAATCATGTTTACAATAATGCTATTTACCTAATTACAAATTGTAAGTCACCATACAATTTATTTGGTCACGTCGATGGTATCTCAAAGTATTGGTGGGAGTTACCTTTGTGCCCTCGTCTCTTACTCTCCTCTTTTGTTAATTTATGTGGTAGGTTAGTTGGTAATTACAGTGTGAAGTAAAGTAATGGATATGTGTGTGTTTACCTACTTAACAGATGTAATGGATGATTACGGCTTATACTATTTACTTGTATGCTAATTTGTCTATATCTTTTAAAAGCTTGTAAAAAATTCAAAATTTGTTAGGAAAAAGAAAAATAATGTATCTACAATAGAAGAATTTCAATCATTTTTTTGTTCGAATAACTTTGATCACATTTTGGTGTTTAACAAATTAAAATGAAGAAAATTAAATAATTAAGACGCCGGTAATCTTTTGTATTTTTTTTTATGAATTAATTAATGACAAACGGATTTATTTTATTTATTAGGTATAACTTACGCTAGTTGAGTCTCTCATTCTCTAGAACGTCATCAATTAACTAAGTCCTCTCCAATCAGAGGACGAGAGGACGGACACATATCTAGGTAGGCATGCGACTCCGGTCTCAGTTCCATTTCACCATCGAGGCCGTATCTCCTAGCTACCCCACCCATTTTTATCACCCTTATTATGTTATTACAAGTCAAGTAGGTACCTACAAAAATAATAAGTACGCAGCCTCAACAATTTATTGAAATCTCTCCATCAAGGCTCGTTTTGCGTCACTAATTGAATAAGCAACTAAGATTTAAACATGGCGTGGTACTAATTAGAGACAAGCTTTTAACTAGGCATTAGAATGTACCTATTACACCACCTGGTACCCCTTTACTGGTGTAAGTAGGTAGTTATGCCCAGGTAGGTACCTATAGGTAAGAGGTAAGTAAACCTATAGCAGTTAGGTACAGCCAAGCCGATGTGGCTTGGCTATACTTAACTGGTATAGGTCAAACAACATATTATCTGGCGTATTATTGCTTTGATATTGATATTTT